ACATACATATATATATATATATATATATATATATATATATATATATATATATATATATATATATATATATATAATAAAAGTGTTATATAATAGTGTAGTATAATGTAAATATAATATAATATAAATATATAATAATAAATTCAGTGTTGCATAATTGCTGCGTTTTGATTGACATGTTTCTATTTAATTTAAAAAGGCTTAAGTAAATACTGAATGCATTAATGATGCATTTAAAAAAATGCTGTTAATTCAAAAAGTGCTGTTCCAAAACAACAACAAAAAATGACCTTTGAACAAACAATAATTTCTGAATGTTTTCATAAATGTAGTTCTTTCCGGGGACAGTGATGGTTACTAAATAGGCTTGAATGATAAGAGGATTAGTTGCCTGAGCTTTTATACTTTAAATTTAAAAAAGCACAGACAAGACTAGCCTAGATAAACATGTTTTTAGATACATTAAGCCCAAAAGTATTTGGACACTTTAGTTACACTTACACTTGAATGAATGTTAATGCATTACATATCAACCCAAGTGGAATTTTTTCAAGCAAAACATTTCACAAAATTTTGCCATTTAAAACTAGGACAAATGTATTGATTGTCAAATGTTAGTGGTTAATGTGATCAACTACACCTGACTTCACTGAAAATCATTACATACTGTACACAGATTAAAAATCACATTGAGACATTGATTTTATTTGTGAGAAAAGCTTAAGAACCGTCGGTTTACAGATTCCACTTGGTTTGATATTTTATCTGACATTAATAAATTGTTAAGTGTGGCCACTATGTTTGGTATAAATGTGGTAGCATTGTGAACGCAAATTCCAGAAGATTAGTGTTAACATGTTCATTTCCATTTATAACACAGTGGGAATCAGTTTTGATAACAAATATTAAATTCAAAGTGTTTTATTTTTACATTTTGAAGTTTAAAGCCAGATCTAAGTAGGATCCCAAATACACAAATTTCCCCCCTAAAGCGTTCATGCTCATACTGTATGCATGAACATGTACATATTGTCATGCAATGTGTTTAGAGGAATGAAAGGATCAGAGTTCATATCTACAGAGCATTCAAAACTCAACAGTTTAGCTTTAAAATGGCACCTTAGAAAGCAAATTAATTTTCTCAATGTCAAATATACTGAGGAATACTAGCATCTCTCATTGTTTGAGCAGATTCTGGCGTGCTGCAGCATGGATGTTATCTAAGCCCAGACAGGTGTTCACAATGGCTCTGTGTCAGAATGTTGTTGCTGTGAACCTGGCTCGGCCTGAGAGGAACTGCTGTCTCGTATTACAATGCATCATTACAAACAAACACCTTTCCAAAGCATTACTTTAACACAGACGCGATGCTCACTCTCACATAAAAACAACCCCAACATCGAGACAGATGCCAACAACCCGAGCCACACTGCCAGAGCTAATCTCCTGCAATCACTTTGAGTAAACCGAAGCATCATAAAGTAAATATTACATAACACACAGCAGAATGGAGTGATTCAGTCTTTAAATGCATTAAAGTGTCTGAGGAAAAGACATGGTGGCTAAAATGAAGATGCTGAGTCATGGTCTACAGAGCATTCTCTGGGTTTAAAGCCAAACTGAGAGCCAGAGAGCAGAGCAGGGGGTTAATATCAGTGCTCCACTTCCTGTGTATTGGCGCCCATTTGTAATACGGACAGTACAACTTCAATTTTCATCCTTCAATCTCGCTACTGGCCCAAATTCACATTGCATGATTCTAAACTGCTAGCTTACTGTATCTGTCCATCAAAACACTCTTTTAATATCAAGGTTTCAGGAAAAGGTTACCATAGAAAAATACAAGGTTCTGGAATTCCTCTGCTTTTCAATTACAGAAAGATTGAGTCCAGTCCATTCAAGCAGATTATCAAATATCAAATCTAGGTTATGGATAAAACTCCATTAAGGTATAAATAGCAAACATAATCCTTGCAATACTACATAAAACGCCAATGAACATCCTGAGAAACTGATGTCATTGTGAACAAAAATGGCAGTTATATATGGCAGACATATATGAGCATATACTCACGTTGCAGTGTGTTCTCCAGCTCCGAGCCTGCCTGCAAAAGGTTGTAATAGCCCTCCATGTCTTTCTCGGGCTCCTGAGGAGAGGCCGAGCCCATTCCCTGGCTGTTCTCGGAGAGGAGTGACTTGACTCTGGGCCCGTCAGGCCCTCACATCCCACTCCACCCTGGATTCATCTCACTACCTCCTCTGAACAAGTCCCAACTGAGGCTTGACTTCAGCTCCGTGCCTCCACTTACGCCTCTAGACTCCCCAAGTCACCTTGAGCAGGAGCAAGTGCATCCAGAGATACCCCCCGCTGGAGGAAACGGGATCCGGAAATATCTATGGCAAACAGCCTGCTGCAGCCGATAGTGGCACTGCAATATCACATCTCAGCTTACAAAAACCACACACACACACATCAGGGAGGGGCAGAGAGGATGAGGTCCTGTCCCAAAAGTGAATCGGATTAAAAGGGTTTCCTGTCCACAGTGCTGACGGTCTGCCCTCTTTAAAAACACACCGCACACACTCCCTCCGGCTGCAAACTCCCGTGAGTTAGAGTGCGTCAGATCTGCATCGCTCTTAGACACACACTATTGACACTCTGCCAACTCCCTCCCCATTGACTTTCTCTGCTGTGGAGTTTAGACTCCGCCCCCTGCTGATCTCCACCCTCCTCATTGGTCAGTTTTCCCTCACAGGCAGTGGCTTAAATTCTGTTTCTCTTCTCACTGCTGGATCCCTGCATGCTGTATTACACACATTCTCACCCTTACTCTAACAAACACACACACACACAGACACACACACACACACAGGGAGACCGTTCTGAATATCACTATTGACAGCAAAACTATTTTTTCTCCCTAGACTAAGGAGTTTCATTGTTCACAACACAGAAAAGTATGACGCGTGGGAAAACTGCTCAAAGACAAACAGCTACATGAATAAGAGGCATTGTTGTCAAAGAACACACTATTTATGCATCTACAACCGCATCTTATGCCCATGAGACACTGCTGGTTTGAAATAACATATGGCATTGCAGTCTTTATTCATTATGCACATGGTCTGCAATTGTTGGACAGATTTGGAGAGACTAACTTTAACTTCTGAAGACAAATACAGGACAATACCAGAAAAATACCATGGGCAAGAGTTTCATCAAAATTTTGCTTAAGTGTTATTATATTAGCTGAGGGTCAAATGTTTGGAATAATTAAGATAAGTCTTCAGTGTCACATGATCCTTCAGAAATTATTCTAATATGCAAATTTCCATATCTTATTATTATCAATGTTGAAAACAGTTTAGATCCTTTGATGAAAAAAAAATTCAAAGAAAAGCATTCATTTAAAATACATTTTTTTGTAACATTATAAATGTCTTTACAATCAATTTTGATCAATTTAATGCAAACTTTTTAATGGTAGTGTATCAGTTTCCACAAAAATATTAAGCAGTACAACCGTTCTCAACATTGAAAATCAGCATATTAGAATGATTTCAGAAGGATCATGTGACACTGAAGACTGGAGTAATGGCTGCTGAAAACTTAGCTTTGCCATCACATCAAAATATTACCCTTTTTACTGTACTTTTCATCAAATAAATACAGCCATGGTGAGCATTTGGCTGCTAGTATTGTTTTTGTTATTATTATTATGAACTTCAACATTTACTCATGAACATTAAGATTTTAGACATGTATGAATATCTTTACTATTATTTTTATTAAGATAAAGGTATACATAGATGCACATTTAATGCACAAAATAATAAATAAACCAACAAACAAACAAAGAATAAAAACAACGAAACAACTATTATGTAACTCTAGGTGCTGTAACTAGAGATGCTCCGATCAGGATTTTTGCAGCTTGTTATGTGATCGGCCGATACCGATAACGATTCTGATGCTTCAAGCTTTATATAGACGGTTTAATCGGGCGCACGCGCCTGGCCCGAAGTTAACTTCTGGTCTGTGTTTGTTTATCAGTCTGGCAATGGCACCGGCTACAAACACAGTTAAAGTTAAGGTGATGAGTAGACTGAAGTTGGGCTCAGGTGGTTGTGCTGTGGGATGTGTTTCCCATACATTTATTTATTTGTGGCGCTTGCCACAATATCAAAACTAACCGATTTTCCAAAAGGCTTTGTTGAATAAACATGAGCAAGTACTGCACTTTAAAAATCAAAACGAGGCGCGGGTGTTTTTAGATCACTGTGTTTCTGAAGGAAGACTATCTTTAGAAAATGTTCGATCTCGTTTTCATTTCATCTTGCTTTTATATGCCTGATAAAGCAGTGTTTGTGAGCTCAGCGCTGCTTTGTGTACAGCCGTTACTGGGGAAACCTCAGTTTCTCCCGCTTTAAAGCACCTCCTGTTAGCAGAGAATGAATTTGCATTTTCAGTAAGTCCTTCTGATTTACGCAGCAAACATATTTTGCTTTTCCTATATCCACGGGCGCTGCGGATAATCCGCGGGTCGGGTAATAAAAAATGCATTCTGATTATTTGAGGGTGGGTCGCTGGTGGATAAAATAAATCATAAATGATGCAAAAATTAACAAAAAATTTTTTTTTAAATAAATTTTTTCATGAGGCAGACGATTTCGTGTGTGTGTGTGTGTTCGTTCGCCTGATCGGGAAGTTGCAGTGACAGAAACGGTGACATTCCAGATAAAGTTTGAAAGGAGTAAAGCCTGTGTTAATGCTGTTGAGTAGGCTAATATAGCCAAAGAAGATATTTTGTTTTTATAAATAAATGTTCATTTAAAAGCAGCCCACGATCAGCGTATTATGTTACCGTTATCCCTTACAGCTCCGACGAGGTTTTGTTCCGTCCTCCACAATGTGACAACTCACAAAAGACTATTTTTAGCCAAGCAGCGCGCAGAGCCTCTTCAGAAACGTGCCGCGGCATTAACCACGATCAGCTTTGGTTCCCATGGAGCCGTAACACGCCGCAGACCTGTGCAGTGAGGAACAGATCAGCTCTAACGTCACTGAATATGCTGTTAAAAATTAACCATCCATTCATCATATCATCATGCAAAACATACACGACAAATAGTGAATTTTTCATTGTTTCTCGAAACGTCATTGCATTTCCACATCCGTGATGACATGATTGCGGTGCCAAATCATTTATGTCCCGACGCATCATGTACGTCGTCACGAGTTGACGTCATCAAATTGTGATCGGTTTGTGAGATCGGCCAAGTTAGTGAGTACCGATCGAGTCATAAAATGTGATTATCGGCCGATACCGATCTCCGGCCGATCGATCGGAGCATCCCTAGCTGTAACTGGTGACAATTTTTTTTATTTAGTAACTTTTCTTTAAGCTTTTGTCCATTAAGTCCAATAGTGTGACAAATTCATTTTTAAACCAATATTATGATGCTGTTTCAGTTACTCTGAAGCCCTATAAAGCACATGTATAACATTTCTACATGGTTTAGAAAAAAATATAAAACTTCAGACACAAATGTCTTTCAAAACAGCTTTTATTAAAGAAAAAAGTTTGAAACAGACTGGTCTTGAGAGGTACATTCAGATCAGCTGGAGCCTGAGGGACAGGATGGAGGAAGCAGGGCTGACCGTGCTAGTGCCTGATTCATTTCACAGCAATGCACCTGAGCCCTGCCTCATGCTCCACAATCAGGCCGCCTTTTTCAGCCTTTTTTATTTATTTATTTTTTTTTATGAAAAGTGGCTCAAAAAGTTTCATTAAAAATACAATCAAATATTTATATATATTTCAGGCAACACGAGAATCCAATAATTATTATAAGCTTTGAAAATAGCATCTCTGGAGTAATTTAAAGGTCTGTTTGGTAATTTCAAACATTGCAGGCAAGTTCTGTTTTCCCCTCCCAAACTGAGCTTAACAAACACATGGATGTGTCTTCATCTTGGTGTGAGTGTGTATGTGCTCACCAGGGTTCTGTCCAGTGGTGGCATTAGTAGTCACACATGCACCGAGAAAAACAAAAATGGGCTCACGTTGGACTAATGTTCACAATGAAACATCACACCAACTGGCCTCCCCTGTCTAGCTGAAAGCAAATGTAAATAGAGCTCTGATATATTTTCTCTGGAAAGCTAATTTATCACAGGGCTGTGATACAGCTGGATTAAGCCCGGCCCAAGATTGGGAGCTGAGCTTAAGATGCTTAGCATCATGACACAGTCAGAGGTCTAACACACACCACTTTCCCTTGGATAATCCACATACACGCTTGAAGATAGCTGAAGCAGGAATGGTGCATCTTTCATATGGCATTGTTTTAGGAGAAACATAACAAAAATGTGCCCGATTACAGAACATGCCAGGCAGTGGCTCTTTTAACACCCATTTTGGGCTACAAGCAGAAAGAAGAATGGAATAGTTCATTCATTTTAAAGGGACACAGAGATTTCAGTTGCATTCACACACACCATATATTAAGAGAGGGTCTATAGGACTGATCTCTGATCAGAGAAAGAGCCCAGAGCTGCTGGTCTACAGGGTCTGGATATAGAAACTCAATCTGTTCAACAGCGGATTGCACAGGTTAAAAGAATAATAAAATAAAAAATCAGTTGGCACAAGCTGATAATGATTAATTTAAGAAGAGAAAGAAATACCTGACAAAAATACAACATTTGTGAGAATAATTACAATGTACAATAAATATGTCAAATAGAGTCACAAATAATTCAATTATAATCTAAAAAGTGTTTGAAATTATGGCACATAGAAATGGAATGTATTCAGAAGCGAAGAAAGTAGAATGAAGATTACAAGCCCTCCAAACCACTAGAGGGCAGACATGATTTTCAATATGCATAAGATTCATTCAGTTTCCTCAAAAGTGAAATGTATGCATGTGGACGTGAAAGCGTGTTTTGGAGCACTGGCCTGGTATATAAAGCTGACACATTCAATATATATGTCATTAATGGGTAAAAAGTGAATGGATGCTTAACTCAGACTCAATCTGAAATATGCTATTAACTTTGCATCGAGAACCAATACTAGCATATGCTGTAACAATGGATAATTCATCCTCAAGGAAAAACTGAAGAGAGCCGGTCGCCCGTTTTAATGGATTCTCTCTTTTTTTTTTGGCATCAAGCAACACTTTTTTTTTTCCATACTTTTTTTCCCACTTGTACAATTTGTAACCCAACTGTAAACTGATCCCCGTTTCAACAAAGAGTAACATCGAAAGACTGTGACAATACGTTATAAGAAGAAAATCTGAAATTGACTTTCGATTTCTCACATACACACAAGTACACATACAGAGTTGTTGGACTTCGTGGGATATCCCAGATCTCCATGTGGTCGAACAAACAGCAAGTTGTTGAAAGGCAGCTTTTATACCCATAGGGTCAGGGCCCGCAGTGCAGCATCTTAGAGAGCTCACATTTAGGGATCTCGAACAGCTACATATCACAAAACTCTAAACTACGATTTGGGATTGTGATCACACCTGGTAACCGATCACAAAAGGGGCCGACTGCCTACAAAGTATGGAAAGTGGCA